TCTTCAAATCAGAGTTGTCCTTCTCTTTAATATATATATATATATATATATATATATATATATATACAAGAAGTGATCACCAAGAATTCGGCACACTTTTCTTTGTATCGAAAGGTTCTTTTTTGTATTTTATAATGTCCTGTTTAGCTTTTGGAAGGCAACGTCCGATATTGCAATGCATCTTCGAATTGCGGTGCCATATGTTGCGACGTTTGTTATGACACTTGTCAAATAATTGAATTTCTGTACTAGCATGATTTTCACATCGCCATTTTGTAGCTCGCACCTAGAACTGTTCCTCTTGCTGAAAAGCATATCGTTTTCTAAAATATGCAGTAATATTTTAAAGGAAAAACCCGATTTTAAGTTTTAAGTTTACTTGCCTACAAGAGGTGACAGACGCAGAAATAGAATTCCAGTAAGATATCTTTAATCATTTCTAAGATTACGGTTCAAAGTTTGATCTAACAATTAGCTCGAATTTGCTGTTACACGATTTGGACAATTTTATTATTATATCCGGTATATATATATATATATATATATATATATATATATATATATATATATATTTGATATATATAATTTTTCATCAATATAAATTAAAATTACATGAAAATTAATAGATAATAAAAAATATATATATATAAATATAAAAAACATGAAAATTAGTGGAGAACCTTGACCACTTCGGTTTTGAAAAGACACAGGATTTAAAATGAAAGTCCACGCGTTTTGTTGATCCGCAGTAAAAACACGTTGACATGCACTAAAAAATATAAGGAAGCATTGAAAGTAAAAAAAAAAAATATAAAGAAATGTTGAACAGAAACGATGGAAGAATTGACTGTCAAAAGCTGGTGTGATGAATCGACAATTCTTTGTTCATTTTTCCCCCTTCTTTTGTTTTTATCACGAAACGATCGAAAAGGCTGGCCGTTGTCTCATTGACTGGAATCATCCGTGACAAACGGTGTCACGTGACAACTGAGGCACGAACGGTTGAAGAGATATTCAACGTTTAGCGACAGTCGCTATGCGATGTCTGAGATTTTAAACGTTACATTCTACGGAACAATAAATAGTAACTGCTTTTATTACGACTTCTAACATCTGTCGAGTCGCATATCTATTTTATTTACATGACAACACACACACACACACACACACACACACACACATATATATATATATATATTTAATTAATTCATCGAGTCTGATATAAACCTCAACAGAATGCAGATATATTTGGGACTCTTCACCAGTGCGCATCCACTGCCGAGAATTGAAACTGTGATATATATATATATACATATATAAATATTTGTTTGCCTCGGGGTTTTTGATTGGCTCCAGAGGCGGATATGCAATATGGTTGGCCCTGCCCTGGCGTCTCGTCTACAGTCACTTTCTCTGGACGCGCCGTCGCCTCCCTCTGTCTGTTCTACAAATACTTTCATGGAAATTGCTCCGAGGAGCTGCATTCGCTGGTTCCCAGACGTCATGAGTTCCAGCGCCCTACGAGGCTGGCATCCCGCTCCCACCCCTTCACTGTCGAAACTCCTAAATGTAGCCGTCTCTTCTACTCTAATAGCTTCATGTCTCGCACCTCTCGCCTGTCGAACTCCCTTCCCTTTTCCTGTTTCCCTGTGAGCTATAATCTCCAGCTATTCACGTGTAATGTCAATTGACATCTCCAGTTGCCTTGATCTATCCACTACCCTCATCCTTTCTTCTATCACTCCTATCTGATCTTGCTCTAAACTTTCTGTAACCCCTTGCGTCCTAGTGGCTTCCCGCCTAGCTTGGGGTGAAATGCTTAAAAATATAATATATATATATATATATATATATATATATATATATATATATATATACAGTTAGGTTGTCAAGCAAATATCATACCAACTGTTCCAATGGGCTTCGGTGACGAAGAGATTCCAAATCAGACTCAATATAGCGCCGCTCGCTCACATATTCCGTGGTGGAACTCTACTGAGATTCTCTGTAACCATAGGACTGTGTCCCCTGGAGCCACGAATACTCTCACCAAGCCGCACACTCTAGAGCATAAGAAGCCAGTTCGAACGATGATATACACAGATAGTAATTATTAGGAGGGTTTGATAATTAGATTTAATTAATTCATCGAGTCTGATAGAATGAGAAACAGAATGAGACTATGAACGGCTCCAGTGCTTTCTATCCTCCCAATAATTACTATCTGTATATATATATATATATATATATATATATATATATATATATATATATATATGAATCGAAAAGGAAAACCTAACCATATCAAGGCAAATGGAAGCGATTAATTTTTCAAAATGTATTTATAAACGAAACCTAAAAAATGACGTTAGTATTTCAGAATTTTTTAATAAATAAAAATCCTTACATTTTCTCCGATAAAGTCTATCAAGGAACGAAACGCGTCGACTAAGGTAAGTTTTCCTTTTTTCTTTATGCGTATTGTTGTTTTACAGATATATTTTCAGTTTTATCTGCATTTTTACACACACACACACACACACACACACACACACACACACACACACACACACACACACACACACACACTCCCTCTATAAACATATATATATATATATATATATATATATATGAAGGTCTATTCTCGTCTATCTCATTTTATTCATATCTATGAATGTTGGTCTCTTCCTGTCTTTTCTATTCATATTTGTTTCTATCTATCTATCTATCTATCTATCTAATAAATACGAATACCAATGTGTCATTGTGACACAATTTTTCAATTAAAGGGCTACACATCTAACTTTCAATAGCTCATGTTACAGAAATTTTCGATTCAAAGTTTTTCATTACTGCAATTGTTTTCAGTGATTTTTTACATGATTTTTTGAAACAGATTTTTTTGTACGATAACAATTTTTATAACATGAAAATAAATTTGAGAATAATTGAAATTAACCGCGAAATCCAGCGGAAGTCACCCATGAAATAAGAATAATTTTTTGAACGAAAAGTAAGGACCTACGTACATCAAACTGTCTTTAAATTAAGTGGTGGTAGAAGAATTATCGTTGATCTTTTAAAAGGTAATCGTAAATATTAATGCAATACTTAAATGCAGCGATCAATTTTGAATTCTTCTGTAGTTTATTGTTGCCTGTCACATACGGCAGCAACATGTCTCGCCAAAAGAAATCTCTACCAACAGAGGAACAGATTGCAATCAAAAGAGCCAAGGTTGCAGCGAGGAAAAGAAAGTCCCGTGCATTTGAAAACCCAGATCAAACGGAAGCGAGGAAAGATTCCAATACTGAAAATATGCAAAAACGTAGGGACTCTCAATATTTTCTCTTTCCCCTCCAATATTTTCTCTTTTCCCACCATCATTTTCTCTTTTCCCTCCATTATTTTCTCTTTCCCCTCTAATATTTTCTTTTCCCTCCAATATTTTCTCTTTCTCCTCCAGTATCTCCTGTTTCCCCTCCAATATTTTGTCTTTTCCCACCGATATTTTCTCTTTTCCCTCCAATATTTTCTCTTTCTCCTCCAATATTTTCTCTTTCCCCTCCAGTATTTCCTGTTTCCCCTCCAATATTTTCTCTTTTCCCACCGATATTTTCTCTTTCCTCTCCAATATTTTCTCTTTCCCCTCCAGTATTTCCTCTTTCTCCTGCAACATTTTCTCTTTTCCCGCCAATAGGACGAAATCGCTTCGCCTATCATCAGATTCACACACCTTCCTGGTTCAAATCTACAGGGTGACTGAAACATAACTCACTTTTTTATGAATGTAACGTCTCAGCGTGAACTTTGAATTTTTATTCATTAATTATTGATCTAATTTTTTCTCCTCGCCCCAATAGGTGGAAATAGGTTCGACTATCGTAATGTTTAAACTCCTCCCCAGTCTTTTGAATAAGGTCAAAGGTTTAAACTCATTGTTCCCTGTTTAGGATTGGGTTTCCGGTTCCTTCTAAAGTCTACTTTAATTCCGTACTTCTAACTTCTCCGCCTGGACTCTGAATTGCTTTTCACTAAATATTTATTTTTTCTCCTCCCGCCAACATGACTAGATAAGTTCGCTTATCACCCGGTTCATACTCTTCCCCGGTTTTTCACTTGTTTCCTGTTTAGGACTGGGTTTCTGGTTCCTTCAACTCTATACTTCTGACGTTTCATCCTGAACTCTGAAATTTTATTCTCTAATTTTTACTATTTTTTCTCAACAACAGGAGTAGATACATCGGCCTATCGACCGGTTCACACTCCTTTCCGTTCAGGAGTAGTGGTTTATCCTTTGCTTTCTGTTTAGGATTGGGTTTTCGGTTCCTTCTAGTGTTTGTTCATGCACTTGTTTTTCCCCCAATCACAGCAGTCTTGAGATATTCAAGTTTTGAGTCAGCCATTATCTTTCTTGCACAGACACATGCACTTTACTTCTTGCTCTTTCTTGTACTCATTCAACAATAACGTTCTACCTTGAGTGGCTCTTGGGCCTTGTACTAGGTGAACATTAGTGAATAAAAAATTGAACTGGGATTAGAAGAGAAAAGACGAAACTTACTAAAAGGTACAAAGGACCGGAAGTTATGGAGAGCCATAACCGCCCACGTCCTGAAGGGGAAATGACATATAGAAGAAAAGAAGAACGAGCTTTTGTAAATGGTAGGTACATTAATAGGAGTAAATAGGTTCTCGTTTCGTCCGGTTAACATTACCCCCCCCGTCTTTTGAGCACGAGTAGAGGTTTATTTCTTGTTTCCTCTTTAGGATTGGGAATTTAGGACAGAGCAGCTTCCTCCTAAATATGGCAACTTTACTCCATTTTTCAGGCCTGATCTGGCTTTTATAAAGCTAGAGGATAGCATGAAGAGTGAGGTCCTTACTGGAGCCGTACAGGGATTCGAACCATTTAAAAATGGCGCTAATCCCGCAGCAGTTGATGAAAAAAAACATATTATTCGTAGCCATTATTCATTACACCATCCGGACATTCAAGTTTACAGCACCTGAAATTCCCAAGCGGTCACCCATCTAGGTACTGACCAGGCTCGTCGTTGCTTAACTTCGGTGATTCTACAGCAACCGGTGTTTCAACATTATGTGACCGTAAGCTGTGGTAATCGGGGAAACATCCGCTTGGGAGTCTGTTTCACAGAGCAGTGGTTTGGGGAAATAGCTGTTTGAGTCGAACTTACTTATCGCCGATCGAATACAGAGGAAATATGGGTGATTTGCGACTATGTAAGTGGCATGGCGGACCCTAGCCGTAAAGGTTAGACCTGGCGAAAGCAAAGAATGTAGTCAGTCCGAGCACTTTCCACCGCCTCTGTGTGTGTGTGTGTGTGTGTGTGTGTGTGTGTGTGTGTGTGTGTGTGTGTGTGTGTGTGTGTGTGTGTGTGTGTGTGTGAAGTGTCCTCCTCTTCTTCCATATGAAAAACTTATTTCTTTCTTTTTACAGTAAGGTTCAGCCTGTACAAGGCCCGGGGGCCACTCAAGGTAGAGGGTTATGATAAGTGGGTAGTTTATATGGATAGGATGGGAAGATAACGGTTGACTCTAGACTTGAATAGGTTAAGAATTTAGTGATCAGGGAAACATCTTCATGGGAGCCTGTTCCACAGGAAGAAGCTGTTTGAATGGAACTTAGTTCTTGCCGATGCACTACGGAGATAATTTGGGTGGTTTGTTACTATGTAAGTGGCATGGCGGGTCCTAACCATAAAGGTCAAACCTGGCCGAACCAAGGAATGTAGTTCGTCCGTGCACTTTCCATGGTAATAGCGATAGAGCAGTGAGAGACTCGCTACATCACGCCTGTGTGTGTGAGAGAGAGAGAGAGAGAGAGAGAGAGAGAGACAGAGACAGAGACAGAGAGAGACAGAGAGAGACAGAGAGACAGAGGTTGGAGTGTGGAAAATGATTCTCCTCCAACAAGGCCTCGAAGACTCGTTTGAATTCTCTGAAGACTGGGAATTGAGGGCCGGGCAGTTCCCGCCCAAATATGCCAACAGTAATTCATTTTTCAGGCCTGATCGAGGTTTTATGAAGCTAGAAATTAGCATGAAGAGTCAGGTACTTACTGGAGCCGTACAGGGAGCCGAACAGTTTAAAAATGATACTAATCCCGCAGCGGATGATGAAAAGACAAATTACATTTTTTGCTTCTATATATTTTTATGCTAAGTGACAGAGAGTCAAAGAGATGCAAACAATCTCATTTTGACTTGATGAAGTTAAAAGAAAGAACGAAACCAAAAAAAAAAAAAATCACAGTTGGATTAAGAAATGGCGACAGTGACGAATCAATGGAAAGAGACTCGGTAAACTATATGGCTTCAATATCATTGCTTGACACTCTCGCGAGGGTAGGGCTCTTGTAGAAAAACCAAGAAGCAAGAAGATCGGGTGTGTTCAGATTAATAACTTACATATGGATGTGGTCGACATTAACCTCGGACATCTCATTACAGAACAACTTAATTCAGATCTATTAAAAAAAATCCCAATAAGAAAATCTAAACTCTTAGGACCTCGTCTTTTTCATTCTTTTCAGCGAAATTCTTTCGTTTTTGATGGAATAAAGGACTAGAGTTAAATTTACGTTGGTTGTTTTTTTTAATTTTTAGTTCCGAATTGTGTTGTTTTCTGAAGCTGAAGAGGTAGAAAATGTGAGGATAATAAGGAGAAAGAAGGGAAAGAAAGAAAAAAAGAAAGAGAATGGGGGGAACAGTTGAAGAGGAAAAAGTGAGGAAAATAAATAAATAAAGAAATAAAGAAAGAAAGAAAGAAAGAAATAAAGAAAGAAAGAAAGAAAGGAAAAAAGAAGGAAGGAAGTGACGACACGAAACAGCAGGGGAATAAAGAAAACAACAGGAAAATAAGAAGAAAGACGAAGAGTTTAGGTTCTTCTTCTTCTTCTTCTTCTTCTTCTTCCTCCTCCTCCTCCTCCTTCTTCTTCTTCTTCTTCTTCTTCTCCTCCTCCTCCTCCTCCTTCTTCTTCTTCTTCTTCTTCTTCTCCTCCTCCTCCTCCTTCTTCTTCTTCTTCTTCTTTCTTTCTTTCCTTCTTTCTTTCTTTCTTTCTTTCTTTTCCTTTCTTTCTTTCTTTCTTTCTTTCTTTCTTTTATAGAATTTTTGTTTTCATTTCTCCTAATGTCTTTCTTTTTTCCTTCTTTCTTTTATCGAACTTTTGTCTTCTTTTCTCCTAAATTTCATTCTTACTTTGTTTCTTGATTTTTTTATTTCATTGTTTTATTTCCTTTTATCTTCTAATTTTGTAACTAAATCGGGGTTCAAGGTTACATCAATAAGTGCTCGCCATGATTCGTCAGAATTATTTTAATTTTGAAATCTGAAATATTTGCTGAAAAATGTTTGATCTATATGACCACCAAATTAAGTGCATGGACAAAGAATGATATTATATAGAAAGATGATTATTTATTGCATAGAATAACAATTTTATTCATAATTAGCTTTCGGAATTAGTGATATATACTTAAGTATAATCCACATTTCGACATTCTCTCATTTTTTTTTCTAAGCCTCTTCCACCATTTTTATTGATACACAGGCTTTTCACATTTATTAAGATTAAATTAACCCGATACAGCACGACAGACGGAAAGAAATGATGCCAGAAAGATTGAATTATGTCAGTATTCGAAATAATAAAATCCTGCCTGTGTAGGAAATTTCGACAGTATTTGCCATAGTGGAATGGGCAGTGGAAAGAGAACAGTTTACCCGCGTAGATTTAATAAAAGATTCAGCGGGTTTCACTGTAGGTTGCCCGGATCGATATACACATGATGAAGGTCGGAGGGTACGACAGCCGAAACGTCGTGACAACAACAACAAAGAAGAGGACAATAGCCCGTATATAAATAACTCTCCATCCCCCCAAACTAGACAGAAGTCGATAATACATTAAAGATGACGACATTAGACTGAACGTAAATAATGATAACTCCTCATCCCAGAAATCCAGACAGAAGTTGATCAGGTGATAATACATTAAAAATGAAGACATTAGACTGACCGTAAATAATAACTCCTCATCCCAGAAATCCAGACAGAAGTTGATCAGGTGATAATACGTTAAAAATGAAGATAATAGACTGACCGTAAATAATAACTCCTCATCCCAGAAATCCAGACAGAAGTTGATCGGGTGATAATACATTAAAAATGAAGACATTAAACTGACCGTAAATAATAACTCCTCATCCCAGAAATCCAGACAGAAGTTGATCAGGTGATAATACATTAAAAATGAAGACATTAGACTGACCGTAAATAATAACTCCTCATCCCAGAAATCCAGACAGAAGTTGATCAGGTGATAATACATTAAAATGAAGACATTAAACTGACCGTAAATAATAACTCCTCATCCCAGAAATCCAGACAGAAGTTGATCAGGTGATAATACATTAAAAATGAAGATATTAGACTGACCGTAAATAATAACTCCTCATCCCAGAAATCCAGACAGAAGTTGATCGGGTGATAATACATTAAAAATGAAGACATTAAACTGACCGTAAATAATAACTCCTCATCCCAGAAATCCAGACAGAAGTTGATCAGGTGATAATACATTAAAAATGAAGACATTAGACTGACCGTAAATAATAACTCCTCATCCCAGAAATCCAGACAGAAGTTGATCAGGTGATAATACATTAAAAATGAAGACATTAAACTGACCGTAAATAATAACTCCTCATCCCAGAAATCCAGACAGAAGTTGATCAGGTGATAATACATTAAAAATGAAGATATTAGACTTACCGTAAATAATAACTCCTCATCCCAGAAATCCAGACAGAAGTTGATCAGGTGATAATACATTAAAAATGAAGACATTAGACTGACCGTAAATAATAACTTCTCATCCCAGAAATCCAGACAGAATTTGATCAGGTTATAATACATTTAAGATGAAGACATTAGACTGACCGTAAATAATAACTCCTCATCCCAGAAATCCAGACAGAAGTTGATCAGGTGGTAATACATCAAAGATGAAGATATTAGATTGAACGTAAATAATGTTAACTCCTCATCCCAGAAATTCAGATGGGAAACAATCAGGTGATAATAACAACAAAGATGAGGATATTAGTCTGTATGTAAATAACGATGACTCCGTACCTTACACATGCTGAGAGAAATTATTAAGTATATTTTTAGAGAAAATATATACATGCGTTAATTTTTTCTTTTATCATTTTTTTTTTTGTCGGCTGCTTTTGTGAAACATAACACACAAAGTGAAAGGTTTGGAAGTTTAATAAGCGAAAGTGAAAAGTGGATTCTTCCTGTCTGCAGACGTTTTAGATTGGCGCCGAAAAGGAGAAAGATAGAGGAGAGTGTGTCGAAAGAGTGGATTTAAAATTTTTTTTCTTCACTTCCTTAATTGCACTTTAGCTTTGGGAAGCTTCTAAACATGGAATTCTGAAAAAAAAATGATCAAGACGAGGACGCAGATAGCTTGAAAAATGAAGTTAGAAAGGGTGACATGTTTATAGCAAAGAATAGAATTTTCAAAGATGTCTTCTATGACCGTCCCTTCAGTATCATTTACGCTTTTATAGTACTCTATAAACTTCCAACAATCTTAGAGTTTTCAAAGTAACTATGGAAATTCCAAGCACACTTCTAGTGTATATATATATATATATATATATATATATATATATATATATATATATATATATATATATATATGTTAAATGACTCATTCATACAAAAAATAAACTCTTACAACAACAACAAAAAAAAATTAAATTGCCATATTAGCAAAAAACACACACTTAAATTTTCAAAAGTCAAACTTAGCGTTGCGACTCCAGACTCCACAAGTTTGTATCCGTTATCAATAACACGTTTTAAAAAAAACATATTTCGATTTGCATTATATTTTTTCGTGTCGCATGGTACCTGAATTTTACCAAAAACAGAAGAGTTTCCATGCCTGATGATGACCGGAGGGACCGTCGAAAGTACTTGCATATTTAAGGAAGACCTAATAAAGTTAATAATTTAAAAAAAAAAAAAAAAAGGCACATAACATTCATCGAAGACATTTTTATGTTTAGCATTCT